TTTTCTTTTTAATTCGTTGGGTACATCGAACTGAATATTAATCAACTCATCTAAGTACTTATTTAGTAATTGAATATCTGTCTCTGTTGGGTTCTTTGCTTGCATGCTCCATATCACAACTGACTTGGAAGTATAATTGGTTCTTCCTTTTATCCGGATACCTTTGTTAAGAATCATAACATAGTTATTTAAAAACTGTGTTATCTCATCTTCATGGTGTGCTTGGCCAATATCTGGATAATTATTATTGTTGACTCCGATTTGACATAATTGTATTGCGGTTTGTAGAACATCTCCCCCCTCTGAAAATATTGGAGTTGTGGCGAAGATTTTTAAAAAGCCTTCCTTCTTTCCTAAAATCTTTGATTCATACTGACTCACGGTTCTTCGTACATTTGCGGGAAAACATTGAAAGATGTCTGTTCCCCGGAAATATATACAACTGACTAATCTAGATTGAAACAACATATATGCCTCTAACGGGTTTGCTTCAGGGAGTATAATTACTTTTGTTCCTTGATAGATTCCTTCAATTGGATATATACTTGTTTGCTTATCTGCTTCTGTATAATTAACAACAAACTTGAATTCTTGATTGAATCTTGCTTGAGTTAATTTTGTTAACTCTTCTTTTTGCTGTTTACTTTGTATATTGCCAATTGTTAATGGCCTTAGTGTAAGAATTGATCCTATCACTTGCATCTGTTTCTGTTGTGCCGTAGCTGGCATTTTTGCTTTTCCTGCATATGTATTTTGAAATTTTTCTAGAGCCTGTTGTGCTTCAAACAGATAAGAAAATTTCTGATGTATAATGTTCTTGTTACCTATGGTGTGAACTGCAACTTCACTCCATTGTGTATATATTCCTCTGTTTTCTCCTATGAAAATCACATAATGCGTTTTAGGCTTTTCTTCTTCGTTGAATGCTTTTTCTAATTGCTTTGAAGATCCAATGAATTCTTCTTTCTTTTCATTTTTTGTCTTTGTTGGAAACAGGACATTTCGTATTGCTTTAATTTCACTTTCTACTTGCATGAGCTGTTTTCTTAACTCTTCTGCTTGCTTTTCCAGTTTTTGCATGCTTTCCTTTAGTAATGGTTTAAGTGCTTCCATTCTCTTGTTAATGTATCTGCAAGAAAATTTTCATTACTGGGAATATAAAGCAAAATATAATCATATTGTTGTGCTTTTAAACTCCATCTTAAAAGTCGTCCTTTGTTATAAGATTCTTTTAAGTTATGTTTTGTAAAATCTTTTGTATAAAGACTATCGGTTTGAAAAATGAATTTAACTGGTTGTAAATCTAATTTAAATTTTTCCAAAGCATTGATGAAAGCTAATGTGTCTTTCTCATGTGTTGTGGAATTACGTTCTGCTGGTTTAAATGTCCCTGATACCCATTTAGATAATAATAAGTTGTTGCCTTCCTTTGTTTTCTTTCGTAAAAATGTTTTTACTTCAGATGGTTTATTGTTTGTGACAAACTTTTTAAATTCTTTGTATGTATCTGGAATTGCTAGAAGGATTGCTCCCCAAGTATCCTGGCTTGCATCAGTATTTAAAATGAGATCATTGGGTTTAGGTGAATAAAGTTGTGGTAAATGAGTACATAATCTTTTTAGAGATTGTACTGCTCCAGTTGCATCATTTGTCCATTTCCATGGTGTTTTTTCAGAAATCATTTTTTGCAATAATTCCCTTTCTTTTGCTAAACTTTTTATAAAACCTTTTTCTCCTATGTAAGTAAGACATCCGAGAAATTTTTGTATTTGATTTCTATTTTCAAGCTGATCTGGAAACTGGTGTATTTTTTCAAGTAAATGTTTTTGTGGTTCTATATAACCTCCTTCAACTATTTTTATTCCTAAAAACTCAGTCTCTGTTTTACCAATTTTTGCTTTTTCTTTGCTTAAAATAATTCCTTTGTTACCTAATTGTATAAGAACTTTTGCAAGTTCTTTGAAATGTTCTTCTTTTGATCCTTGTGTAAAAACAATTATATCATCTATGTAAGCAAGACTTATTGATTCTAAACCTTTAAGATTGTTATCCATAAATCTTTGATAAATACTTGGTGCTTGTTTTAATCCGAAAGGCATAACATTATATTCATAATGATTTTGAGGTGGACAACTAAATGCTGTTAATGGCTTAGTTTCTTTATGTAACCTTAATTGCCAATATCCTGATTTAGCATCTAATGTACTATACCATTTTGTTTTCTTTATTCTACTAAAAATATAATCTTGTCTGGGTAGTGCATCTCCTTTAGTGGCTTTATTCATTTCTTTATAATTTATTACCATTCTTCTTTTCCCTCTTTTTAGTTCATTATGGTTTTCTACATAGAAGGCTGGTGCGCTATGTGGACTTGTACTGGACTGTATTATTCCTTTTTCAAGCATTTTAGTTGTTTCTTCTTGAAATTCTTTTACATCTCCGTCTGTGTATGGTATTCTATTTGGTACATTAACTTTTTTATTGGGATCTATCAATTCTATTTTAACTATCATGCTATTCATATTTTTATCTGGGTCTAATGGATCTTGACTACATATTTTTTCTAGTAGTTGGTTAATTTGTTCTTCTAAGTTTATACTTATCATTTTATAAATTTGAAATGAAACTTTTCTTAATATCTCCCCCTTTATAAAAGAAGATGTGTTATATATTTTTGTAGTAATCATTTTACTAGACTGTGTATCTAATTGTGGACATCTGAAACTAATGTTGTTTAATCTTTGAATAAATGGACTACATAACTTAAGAAAATTGTTTTCAATTATTAATGGTAAACCTGTATTTTGCTTATAAAGACTTGGTAAAGGATAACATTTTTCTTCTATTAATAATACTAAATTTGTTGCTCTAAAATCAATACTTATTGTTTTATTATTTGCAATTCTCACTGTGATTGGCTTATCTAATTTCTTCCAATATTTACTAGGTAATATAGATTCTTGTGCTAAACATATTGTTGCACCTGTATCTATATATGCTAATAAAGTTTTATTGAATAATTTAACTTTAATAAATGAACTATTTTTACTTATCTTCTGAATCTGATGATTCTATATCACTATCTGTTTCTGATTCTAGATCGTATATATCGAAAACTAATAGTTCACCTTCTTCATATTCATCTTCTATCGGTTCATAACCTAAAGAAAATATAAATTTTAACTTCTTCTCTTTTTCCGGTATGTTTTTAGGGCATTCATTTGCATAATGTCCTATTTCTTGGCATTTCCAACATCTACAATTCTTCTTTCCTTTAGTGAAATATTTGGATTTGCCTAAATATTTTCCTTGTTTTCTAAATTTACCTTTATATTTAGATATCCATGGTTTTCTAAATGTTTTATATCTTCTTGGTTTATATTGTTTCTTAAACTTATTGTATTTATAATATCTTTTCTTCCTATATGGTTTGTGACAACCATATTCTTGTGGTACACTGTCTAATTGTTTACAACATCTTGTGTCGACTTTAGTCATTTCATGATGTTCTATTTTTCTTATACAAAGTTCATCTCTATATTCTTTTGCATATTTTTCTAAAACTCCTAGAATTTTTTCTTCCTGCGTTTCACTTACTTTTTCTGAATATACTTATTCATTTCATATTTTAGTTTGCTTTCATTTATTTCTATTAAACCTGATCTCTCTTTGATTTTATAGAAATTTTCTCTTACTTGACAAAAGAAATTTTCCATATATCACATAATTTTATATTAGTTAAAATTCTAATTATTTTTTCCTTTTGTGATTCTTTCGATTCTTTACGGTGATTCCTAAAAATTTTTTTACTAGATCTTTTGCTAATTCTCTTAATATTGCTATTTTATATTCTGCTCCTATTTCCGAGCCACTAGCTTGAAGGTTTAACAGAATTTGAGTGTTATCTAGATAATCAAATAATACTCCTGATGTTTTGTATTTTGTATAATTGAAGAAATCTAATAATGTCGTTCCACTTATCATTGGATCATTAGTTTGAACTAGTAATTTTAGTTGATTAGTCCAAGTGACTATTAAATCTTCTGCATTGGTTGCACAATCTATATTTAATATTCCGTTAGACAATGTCTTTCTTTTTCTAAATAAGACGGTGGTACATTTTTTCTCAGTTTTCCTTGACTATAACTATAGTCGCTTTTATATGTAAAATCTTTAAAACTTCTTTCTGCATAATTATTTTGTGAACTAGATGCTTCATTATTATCTATTCTAGGTCGTTTTGGTGACAATGGTGGTGTTGTCTGAGGTTTTTGATCAGTCATATTTAATGTGGGTTCATCTTCATCTTCACTATCTATTCCATATATTATTCCTTGTTTATCTTCACCATCTATTTTTGCCATTCTAGTTTCTTCTATATTACATTTTTCTAATAACTGTGATAATCTATCTATATCATCCATTTATACTTGTTGGTGGTTCGATACTAATTCTTCTTTTTGATTTATATGAATTAGTTTGTGCATTTTCTCTTTGTAGCAAAAAATCATGTAATAATTTTATTGATTCTTGTATTTGATCTAATTTTTCTAATATTTCTAATTGAATTTTCTTTATTATTTCTACTAATGTTTCTATTTGTTCTGAAACTCACGGTTGATTACTCATTATTTAAATATTTTCTTAACCTTTTTCTTTTTGTTTTGCCTATAGCAAAATAGGGTGTGTGTATAGTTACAAAAATGACACTTGTCAAATTTTGTATGGGTTACTGCACTACCATTACTGGTAGCATAGAATTTTTGATAGAATGCCAGAACAATTGATTTGATTTGATAGTGATAGGATTGATAGGTAAAAAGTCAACTATTGTAATTGTTACATCTTATAATACCTTTCAGCAATGACAAACAAAAAATCACTCAATGGTTCAATTGTTTAACTAAAGCCTATCTAGTGAAAGTCTTAATCATTGCGTTACCTTTGTACATGTTCGCAAACATGGCCAAAGTTTATTTTTCAGGCTAGCAAACCAACATCACCTTTAATCCGGTACAATCCTAACATACAAAAGCGCTGTTGTATGATTGATTTAGTTCTTGGCCGCACTCCTTTAATCCGGTACAATCCTAACATACAAAAGCGCTGTTGTATGATTGAGTTAATTCTTGACCGCAGTGCAGTGTGGTTCATTATCATTTATCGTCTGCTACATGCACAATTTTCTGTGCACGCGAAATGAAACCTTCCATTTGGAAAGGCGAAAATTATCGTGATTAGACTAATCGAAATAAAAGCAGTAATGACCGGAACCCTATCCTTCTCTCCATTCTTATCTCTCAAGCCCTATACCAAGAGGTTAGTACTAAAAGCTTTTCTCTCTGTTTTTCGTTTCCGTTGATTCTCTTGTTATTTAGTATTAGTAGTAAATAGATTCTAATAACTTTCGGAAATATGTGTGTGTGTTTTGTGTGAATTTCATAGATTGGCAACGAAAATGTCATCAGCAGCCATCAAAGACGTCGGAATCCCAGCTGGGTCTCTGGCGATTAAACCACCGGCTCACCCCACTTACGACCTCAAGGCCGTCATACAGTTGGCACTCTCCGAGGACGCCGGCGATCGAGGTCAAACTTCACTAGTTTTCATACTATCTATTGTTTTGTTTTGTTAAAAAGGTAATTGTTTTTTGTTAATGGTGTTCTTTTTATCTTGATGTTTGAAGAATTAGCTTTAATCAACAATTGAATACGTTGATGGTTTAAATCATCATCATCATCATCATAGCCTTTAGTCCCAAGCAAGTCGGGGTAGGCTAGAGATGAAACCCAAGAGAAACACAAAAAAGACTCGAACCAAAAGGAAGAGATCGAACGAGAGAGAGAGAGAGAGAGAAAGGAGCAAAAAAAACGTTGATGGTTTAAATGTTGGGGAAAAAACTTCTGGGCTTTTGGAACAAGTGAATTTCTTCGCCTTTGAAGTTGGAATTTGATGGTGTTTGTAAGTAGGAGCTGAAAAAAATTTCTGAGTTGAAAGAGAGTGTTTCTGTTCATTACTTGGAAAATTGCTTTCTTTGGGTGTGAAAGTGAAATCAGAAGCAAAATAGAACCCGTCCAAAATCTTAACTCCAATTGCTACTTTTTCACTGTAGGTTAGGTTTTATGTTAGAAAGTTCATAAGGAGTTAAGAAAATCTCTAAGGTAGTGGATTATGAATATAAATAACATTTTTAAAGAAAAGGATAGGAACTCACATCCGTGAGCTCAAAAAAGTATTTTTCAGGCTGAGACTACTGTTTTTTAAGGACTGATTTGGAAAGCCCGGTTTTTATAAAACATCACTATAGAAGAACTGCCTTTATTAGAAAGTGAGTAATAACAAGAGTGATTTACATAGTACATTCATAATTAAATGCAGTAAGACGGTGGGAAAACATGTGTTCTTGATCCGGCTATGTAGTTATGTTGTGCATACTGCATACATGAGAGAGTTTGGTTATCTGTGCCATCGAGCTGCTGTATTCTGAAAGAAACATTTTCTTGTTCTTTTAATTCACTTTTTGGAGTTTGTGATAGTCAGCAGTCATTTCTGAGTTGAACATTGTAAACTAGGAAGAGCTTGTTGGTCTAAGAATCTAAATTTTGTAATTTGCAGCAAATTGTGCAGCCTATATCACTAAAAGGATGTGCCGTTTTAATCCATTGATAAAATTTACTTGACAGAAACTGAGAATGAATTCTTCATTTGATAAAAGTTATGTGTCCTTGACTTAAAAAAATAATTCGATACTTGCTCAACATGATTAAACCAGGGGATGTGACTTGTAAAGCAACAATTCCTTTTCAAATGGAAGTCGAAGCACATTTTCTGGCAAAGGAGGATGGGATCGTGGCTGGTATTTCGCTAGCAGAAATGATATTTAATGAGGTGGATCCCTCACTTAAGGTAAGTAAGCACTTACATTTCATTAATCTGCATGCTTCTTTTTCTCTTTGCATTTATATCGAAGTTATGGAAAAAAATAATTTTATTTGTTGGTTGAGTAATCATCAGGTCAACTGGTATAGAAAAGACGGTGATAGGGTACACAAAGGCCTACAATTTGGGAAAGTACAGGGTAACGGTGCTAAAATTCCTGTGGAACCAATCTTTTTTTATGGCTTAATACAAAACTGCTCGAGGTTTTGTCTAGTTACAAAAAACTCAATTATCTTTGAAGTGACACATAACATCTGAAGATAGGTATATACCTACAAATAGCCTCCTCTTGAGTGCTCCAGGTTTCACCATTTTTTGACAATTAAACTGCAACAAGGTTTTGTAATTCTGGAAGATCATTGTTTGTTTTCCTTTTGTAATTAGTTTAAACCTTGGGCAATTTTGTAACTGTACCCAAGTTTTGTTTTAGCAATTTTTTTTTTCTTGTAACTTTACTCTGATATTGGTTTAAAGTAAACATGCAGGAAGAGCGCACAGTATAGTTGTTGCTGAAAGGGTTGTCCTTAACTTTATGCAGAGAATGAGTGGAATAGCAACTCTAACTAAGGTGTAACACCTAGATAATGTGTTTCTGAACTATTATTGTTTATTGATTTAAGGTCATAACAACAGATACCCTTGAGGTTTATTCTAAATACAAAAAGCTCTGTTTTTTAGATTACAAATGCATCCTTGACTTCTGTTTCCTTTTGAAAAATTATACGATCGACAGAACTGTATTTGTTTGGTAAAGCAAATGTGAAGTACATGTTTCCTTTAACACCTTGAATGTCTGTGATCATGAATGATAGCTCTAGTTTTAAATAATTAGGCTAAACCTCAGAGGAAGCTTTTGTTATTATCGCTATAATTAATAACATAATGGATGATCACAACAATTATCCCGAGGTTTAGTCTAAATTACAAAAGATCACTTGCATCTTTAATAAACACCTTGAATGTCTGTGATCATGAATGATAGCTCTAGTTTTAAATAATTAGGCTAAACCTCAGAGGAAGCTTTTGTTATTATCGCTATAATTAATAACATAATGGATGATCACAACAATTATCCCGAGGTTTAGTCTAAATTACAAAAGATCACTTGCATCTTTAATAAATCTCATACTTCCTGAAGGCACACTCCTGTAAGCCGAAAAATAGGTCAGTGTGTAGTTGTGATTGTAAATGATAACTATGTTTCATAATTAAGTTAAAATAATGGTTTTGCAATTAACCCCTGATGTGATGCTCTATCTTGAAAGATGGCTTTAACATACAATATGTACTTTTTACACGGAATAGTAATATTGAATAAACTTGCAGGCCATGGCTGATGCTGCACAGCCTGCATACATTCTGGAGACTAGAAAAACTGCTCCTGGCTTACGTTTGGTGGATAAATGGGCGGTGTAGATCACTATCTTCACTCCTTATCCAGGCTTAATACTACTACTTTGCCGTTGTTAATTTACTTTGTTTGACCGTTTTTTCAATTACCTTTTAGGTCTTAATTGGTGGGGGCCAGAATCACAGAATGGGTTTGTTTGATATGGTCATGATAAAAGACAATCATATATCAATAGCTGGAGGTATCACGAATGCTTTGAAATCCGTGGACCTTTATTTACAGCAAAATAATCTTCAAATGGGTGTTGAGGTAGTGCATTCGCCTTTTAATCTTCAAATATGTCAACTATCAAAACTGAGTGTTTATCCCATCAGATCACCAAAATTTTAAGTAATTGATGTTATAAAATCGAGACATTCATGCCTTACCAACCACTTCTTATTACATTATTTTTTGTAATATGCTCTGTCTGTAACACTGATTTACTGAGTTGTATAATCAATTAATTCTTTCTAACTCGACCAACTCGAGTTAGTGAATCGAGTTTGTTGGATATATAGGCCACTATTTACAAATTAATTTCAAGAAATATTTGAGTATCCCAATATTAATAATATTGGTGAATGAGAGGACCCAAAATACATGCTTCTGCTTACAGGTTGAAACAAGGACTCTTGAGGAAGTAAAGCAAGTTTTACACTATGCGTCCACAACCAAGACGTCGTTGACTAGGATAATGCTGGACAATATGGTGGTCCCGTTATCTGATGGGGACGTTGATATATCCATGCTTAAAGAGGCTGTGGATTTGATTGACGGAAGGTTTGAGACAGAGGCAAGTTTCGAATTTGTTGAAAATCATTCTCTCTTTGTTTTTTCAGTGCAAAGCCTTTTGCATTATTCTTCTCATAAATAAAAATTTCAGGGACAATAATATAAAAATACTTAAGGTTTGACCTTATATAGAAAAATTTCGTCCAACTTAAAAAATTACTTAAACCCCCTTCACGTCTTTCTTTTTGAGGTTTATATTCTTATAACTAATATATATCCCCTTATTGACAGAGTAATTTATAAATGAATGAAATATCAAAGGGGTATTTGTAATTTTGAGAGATGGCTGGGAGTGTTTTACAATTGGAATCAGAGTTTTTTCTTCTGATTAACCATAAACTGAATATATGCTGCAGCACTTCTAAATCTGTCTTCTCTGTTCTCTGCTATCATCCAGCTCCTTGAAAAACTCAACATTGGCACACAATCAACTGACAATTCTCGAGCTAAACATATTAAGAGAGATAGAGAGCAACAGTAACAGAATATTCGTACGCATGTACTTGCTTATAAAAGAAATAATGAACACTTATTTGTAAACCAGAAAGACTACTTAAGTGTTCTCTTCTTACTATCCTGTCGCCTTTAAAATATGCTTTCATGTCATGTTAAATGAGTGCTTCTCATATTTGCATGCCCTTCTGATGTCACTTTTCTGGCATTTAACTTCATTTTGGGCTTATTTTGCACCAGGCTTCTGGAAATGTAACCCTTGAGACTGTACACAAAATTGGACAATCTGGTGTGTCCTACATTTCTAGGTACTGCTACTTTTTATTTACTCTTCAATCCATAATTTCCTCCTTTTCTTATAAGGACATGGGAATCCATAATTTCCTCATTTGTTTTCAGTTTGATTTGTCTTTTTCTGTGCGCGTTATTGTTGTATGCAATTTACAAATATGTGGAGTGGTTTCCAGAAAGTTGTGCCTTTCAAAGAAGTGATTTTATGAGCAAACCTAATGAGAATTAGAAGTTGGTAGCGTTTGCAAACAGAAGCTGAAAAGTGAAGGGATTTGGAGAGCTTTTGAAACCTACATTTGTTACTTTAAAGTTGAAAAGGAATAAAGCTGAATGTACTCCACTGTATTATGAACTTTGACTGTATTATGAACTTTGATTTTTTCTATTAATGGAAGTCACTCGTGTTGGCAATGTTTCCAAAATGCAGTGGTGCACTGACTCATTCAGTTAAAGCACTAGATATTTCCTTGAAAATCGACACCGAGCTTGCTCTTGAAGTTGGAAAGCGTACAAAACGAGCATAAAGATGTTTCAACTCAAGTTTTTTCTTTTCCTTCAGCTTTCGTGCAACTGAACTTGCCCATTTGTTTAATGTTGCTGGGAAGAGTATCCTGAAAAACAATTACGTTAGTTTATTTATTTTACGCTAAGTTCCGTGAATTGTTGGTCGAATAAATGTGAGAGATAGGTGCAATCCTCCCAGTACTGGAAATGTCAGAGCATGCATTTCTTCTTTATTCGACTATTTTGATGCAGTCATAGATGTCATCTGGACGAATTAATTTGTTTCTGCTTTATGTTTTTCATTCAGTTTTGCTGATTTTGACGTATATGAAAAATTTGTTCAAGTGAGTTTAAATTTTTCTGTTCCACCCATTATTCCCTCGTTAGATATTCCGAAATTATTGGGTTGAGAGAAAAATAGCTTTTGAAAGAAGCGTCAAGAATTTTAAACAAAAGAACCTATGTTTGTTGCAATGTTATGTAGGATCATTGATAAGAAATTTTTTAGAAATTACTTATCTTCGGGTTGGTACAAATTTTAATTGGCAATAACATTTCACTAGGTTTGAAATTTCTTCCCAAAAAACTGAAAAGCCCATTGAATCGAGTTGATTTCGGAAAAAAAACTCCCAAAGTTGATCGAGCTGTTTTATTTGGTTATTNTAGCCTAGGCACCACAATGAATTCATGAGAATAAAAAACCCAAAGGAATAAAAAAACACAAATCTCCCAAAGGGAGCATCAACACAGTTCCCAAAAGGGAAAATTGACACACAAAAACTTCAAAACAAAAAATCAATATTCTGAAAACTGAACCGGTGAAGTCACTGGTTCAATGGTTCACTGGTCGGACTAGTGGTTAAACCGGTCGAACCAGTTTAATTAATATATATTTTTTATTTATTTTATATGTATAATATATAATTGTATATATTTTTATCATTAATTTATATTGTATAATGACATTTTTTTAAATAAATAAAGGAAAAAACTAAACAAAGAATCGTGCGTAGTCTAATATTTTAACTACCATGATATAATAATACTGATAAATAATATTGTTCATAAAAATTAATATGATTATAATGGAAGAGGAATTATGAAAGTGTCACCATAAATTTATAAACGATTTTTTCAATTACTTAGCATACTCAGTAGCTCATAGATTTATGAATCTAGTGACTATTAGTAGTTTGGTACCCGTTAATCTTTTCAATAAATAAATAGTCCTATAATTATTAATTAAAGCAAAGGCAGAGAACTTCTTACTTGAATTTCTGCCATTTCATAAGTACAGGAAAGGAACTGGGCTATCAAGCTTGACAAATTAGTAAGGCCCAATAAGGCAATGAAGGCCCAATAATTTCAGCCACTCTTTATTTGTGAAGATCCTACATCGAAATCAAAAACAAAAAAGTTCAGCTACTTAAAGGATTCGACATCTACCCTTGGGCAGAAGAAAACATTGGACTGTGCCGTTCTAACCGTTGCCGGTTCGAATTACCAGTTTTTACCTGTTGAAACGGTTTTTTGACCGGTTTTAGACTTCAACGGTTTTATGCCTCAACCCGGGCCGGTGCATTGGTCGATTCCCGGTTGAACCGGCCGGTCCGGTCCGATTTTTAGAACAATGCAAAAAACCCAAACAAAATAAACCCACAATACCAAAAACAACAAAAAAACACAAGAACAAATCAAAACTAAAATAAACAAGCCCTCTCAACAGCCGGCCACTGCCCCAACACAACACCACACAAGAGGAGAGCCGACGACGACACCTCCAAGACAGGCCAAAGATCGGGACGCAACCTATCCACTCCTTCACCCAAAAATGACGGGCTAACATAGATCCACCCCAACGAGCCGAGGAACAACTCGGAGCACCCGGGAGGCCCACACCAACCCCCACCCACACACAACTCCGGCTAGAGCTCTCGAAAACGGCTGAAAGGCTCCAGTCGGACGGAAAGCCCCGTCTCTAACCCCAGGAGACATGGCAAAATAGGGGGCGAAGCCAGCGTAGGCCTCAATCCTGCCCAATGGAGGCTCGGCAGACTGGACCCGCCGCACCTCCCTCACTGCCGACGAGTTGCCCTAAATCACTGCCCCAGCCGCCGAATCTTAGGTGAAGAGCTGCGCCATAAAGTGCGAACTCAATAGAGGAGAGAAAGGCAGAGCGCCGGCTGAAAGGAGGCAGGCTGAGGATGAAGAAGACGAGGGTTTCGGCGAATTTGGGTTTTTATCCGAGGAGAGAGAAGAGAAAAAATCAAACTTGGTTATTGAAATTCACTTTCGGTTCAAACTTGGTAATTCACTATCAATTAGGGCTGACATTTTTCAACCGAAAACCGAAAACCGAACTGAACCGAACTGTATCGACGAGAAAATAAACCGAACCATACCGAACCGCTTGTAACGGTAATCGATTATCGGTTACCGAATCACTATCAGTTTTGAACCTATAAGGGTTCGGTAAAACCGATACCGAACCGATAAGGGTAAAAAAAAAAGTAGAACAAGGATTTTTTTTTTGTAAATATTAAAACAAGGATTAATTGTTTAGTGCTTAGTGTTTAAAAATTAAAATATAGACTCAACCCTACCTAAACCCTAACTAACGAGAAAAATACCACTACCCATCTCCTCATTCACCTTCTCACCAGAACAAATGTCGGTTTACCAGTCTCACTCCTTATATAAGATGTAATGTAACTGTAGTTTATTCTCGTACCACTGTTACTAGATAAAGTTAGTTGAAGTTGTATCACAAATTTTATTTTTTGGATGTTCAACAACAACAACAATATATTGTTTTACAAGTTGCGTTTAATACAAAAGGCAGAATCTAACTATATTTAAACTAACTTCTGTATATTAAATTTAACTCTTTAATCCTTCAATGAATTTGTGAGTATTTTTTGTATATTTAATTGCTAAGAAGTGAGAAAATTACCAAAATGACGAGAAAAGTAAACACTAGCAGTTTTTTTTTTCTTTTTGTGTGTTCAACACCGCTTCGGTTTTTTCGGTATAAAACCGAAACCGAACCGACTTTTCCGTTACCGAATATTCGGTAACAAACTTTAATCGGTTCGGTATCAGTTTTGGATTTTGAGGTTACCGACATTATCGGTTCGATATCGGTATAAGTTTATCGGTTCGGTTTACCGAACTGATACCACCCCTACTATAAATTGTCCAGTTCAATCGTACATAAAGTAATTAAAAAATGGGATTAAAGTCATTTGAAATGAGTTTTTTTTGGATTGTATTATATTTATTTTGGGTGGAAACTTGAATCTGATTTTGATTATGTGAGTGAAGTATGAGATTTTTTTTAGTGAAATATGCGTTAAAATGTAATGATTAAGTTGATGTAATATAAAAGTAGTAAAAAGAATGATTGTAAATTATTTATATTAGAAAATTTGAGTGAATGAATAGTGAATTTTGTTGGAAATTGTGTGGTATGATTGATTTTTATTATTTAATTATATTGATAATATTAAGGAGAGTTATGAATTATAAATTTGTATCAAATTTTAGTTCCATAAGAAATTGTCTGACAAGATAAAAAAAAAGAAACCCTCGCAACAGGAATCGAGCTAGTTTCTTCAGGGCGAGGAGGGGACTCCACATCCTCATTGGACTCATCGACTAATTAACCAAAAGGTTGAGAAGAAGAGGGGAGACTGAAAAGAGCAGGTCGAGACGACAAGGGAGTATAGGTTGGGGATTGACCACCAAAGAGGAAGAGGAAGAAGAAGAAGAAGAAGAAGAAGAAGAAGAAGAAGAAGAAGAAGTGTCAAAGGAGGGGGAGAGCACATATCTCTGCCGACAGAAGCACCATCAGTTGTGCAAGAATTTTAAAAAAGAAAAAAAATAATAAGTTTATGTTTGAGGGGGTGATTCGAAGAAAAGAGTTTGAGGTGTAGGCGTGTGAAGGAAGAAATTTGAACAAAAAACCTAGCATGAAAATTAACAGAGAAATAAAGGAGAGATATTTACTCATCGACATGGCTGAAGCTAGAAGTCGGAAGGTGAAAACAATCCTGTAACGGTGGTCGACGACGTCATAGGACGACGTCAAGTCTTTTATTGAGGCTTTGAGAAGATATGTTGCAGAGAAATTTTCGCAAAGGTGAAAAAGGTGTAAAATTTGGTTAAGGATCTTATTTGTAGGCGAAGGAAAAATGAAGGGCAAGAGGTCGATTGATCTCGATCGTTGGATATTTGTCGAAATGGACATGCGGGATTAAAAGTCTAGTTGAATGGACGGGTTGAGTAGGATTGTTGGATTGAGGCCTATATGGATGAAAAGATTGAAAGGGGTAAGCTGGAAGGAGAACTTGGTTATGATCATTGGAGTCAAAGAAAATCGGATGGAAGGAATTAATCACTATTAGAAAGTCAGAGTTCAATAACGGAAAATTGTGTTGCAATAGGGCAAGTTTGTGTTACTAATAAACAATAAAGACAAATATATTCCGCTACATTATTAGTTAGTGAAAACAGGGGTGCTGATGCTCAGAGACAGATTTCGTTCTGTTGCTATCACTAACGATTTTTGTAACAAGCAACACGTTTCTAGTAATTGAGGAATAACAAGGAGATAAGAAACAAGATTATCTGTAACTAATTATTCAGTAATAGAAGCCGAATTAGAAACAAGATTGTTTGTTCCTAATTATTCAACAATAGAAACCAAATTAGTAAGTAGACTATTTGTTCCTAATTATGCAGTAATAGAAACCAAATTAGAAACAAGACTATTTGTTCCTAATTATTCAATAATAAAAACTAAATTAGAAACGAGACTATTTATTCCTAATTATTCAGTAATGGCATAATTTTCCGTTTCTCATACGACACATTAAGTAATCACAATATCAATTTTCAGTAAATTTCTTTTGCATCAAATGAATCCATTAATACCACTCACAATAAGTAAGCAAGATTAAATAAAAAAAATAAAATGAAATACAATAATTTTATTTCATCTTTACAATAAATATTTCAATTGATAAAACATCAAAGTACATAAAATTAATACAAGCTACTAATCATTTTTATATCCTCAAATAAAATAGGACCTAATATGTTTAACATTTGAAACTGAAGAACTCGTCGAGCCTTTTCTTGTTCTTATGCCGCTGAGATGAACCCGACATATATTGGCAGCTTATTCAAGTCAAGATGCAATAATGATTCATGTGCCACTGAAATGAACCCGTCATATGTTGGTAGCTTATTCAAGTAAAGTTGCAATATTGATGCTTCCTTCTCAGAGTTACATTCTTCTTTTTGTATGTAGTCATTAAATATTACCCATATCATGTATTGGTGGCAAATTTAAAAAATAAAAATAAAAAATTGGACTTACCGTATCCAATATTCTATCTGCCTCAGTTCATCTTATCGCCAAGTAAAA